GGCATAAATATCCATGGAACCTGATCCTCTGTCGACTAGTAGACAAAGTCGACAAGGTTCAATCTAAGAAAGTGGAAATCCCCCCAAACACTCCAATGATGGTCGTGTTGAATGCAGATCTCAACCGGAGGGGTTCCCAAATATTTTAAATGTCTCTCAAATATCCAAAGTTCATTTCAAATAATTCAAAGCTTCACCCAAATACCTACGAAAATCCAAAAATCCACAAAATCCAAAATTCCAGAAACCCAAAATCCAAAAATATTTAAAATTGAAAATCCAATCATCAACTAACTTAAAGAAAAACTTCATCCACCCTCCGCAACGTTTGCCGAGGTGGACAAATTAAAATTTACTTCAGCTCACAAAGAGCCAAATGCCTAGTCAAAAAATATCACTAGGATTCATTCTCAAATAGTCGTCTTGCCAGTAAGGATGTGGTACGTTTCCTCTGATCGGCGGTTTGCTGCCAAATGGCACCGCAGGATAAACGGTTATGACCCGGGGCCCTCTGAACCGAGTGGTTCTGCTGCCAAATGGCACCACGAAATACCGGTTATGGCCAGCGCCGTTATGTTCCTTATTGGCATCAAATCCTTGAGATATGAATCAATATGATATGATTGATAGGGCAACAAGCCCTCTGTCAGCTTAAGGTGGATTCAAATTGTCACCTTAGACAAACATTCACCCCAGGTCTACAAGGTCCCTTAGACGAAGAAACCCATGGCTGCCAACAAGGATCCTTCTGTTAGGTTGGGTCGACTACCTCCTCTGACTAAGTAGACCAGGGACCACGATGGCCCGGGATGACGGAACCATGGGATCTTGATCGGGTCCATCATCCATTCCCACCATCCGCTTTGTGCAAGATGGTGAAAATTTCTATTTTAAATATCAAATCTTCCAACTTATCAAATTCCCAAATTTCCAAATCTCTAAACCCTTCGAATTTCAAACCCATGCTGCTACTATATGCCAGATAACGCGTATCTCTACGTATCTGATTGACGACTAGCCTTAATCGAAAGTTCTCTCTCCGTGATCGGGGGGATAATTAACTATACGGGCTTGCACCTATAGGAAACTAGAACTCATATCATAAAGTCCTCGCAAAATGAGGGCGAAATCTCTGGGTAGTGTCTTATCTACAAACCCATCTGCCTTCCAAAATTTACCTTGGAACATATCCGTTAAAACTCCCTCGCCAAATAAAAAGAAAAGCGAGTGGAGGCCGGGGCCGAATTTTTGGAGCCCACAGATTCCTTACGAGCTTCTTTATAGTTAGAAGATATATGGTTATCTTAAAGTGAGTTAGATTCGATGAAACAAAATTAGAATTTATCTGAAATTGAGATAATTATGGTTATTTGGTTGTTTACGAAAGAACAAGACATTGAAGTGGTAAAAAATAGGAAATTCACATGCAGAAGATCCTATAATTCATGTGAGATTATAAATCTCTAATATAATGAGCAAATTATTCTTAAGTATACTATTGGTAATATATATAAATCTATTGAATGACGATGCTCATGTAAATAGATGTTCTTCATATCGAGCATGATATGATCATATCAACAAGTCTAATGCATTTTATGAAATCACTTATTTAAATGAATTCAAGGTATTTTTAATTTTCTTGATCTATAAGATTATTTGATAGTATATAAATTTATTTAAGCACATTGAAGTTGACCATTACATATTATGTTTATCTTGACGCATGTTAAACATATCAATTAATATGCTATAAAAAATCTAAATATTAATGATAATGAGATTAAATTGAAAGAAGGTGATGAAAGGTCATGTGGGATATATTGACAAGCTATGATAAACTGGCAAGGAGGGAAAAAAGTTCTGAAGAAATTAGCCTCAATAGGGAAAAAGAAAAATTCTTGGCTTTCATTCTTAGAAAGTTAATACCTTAAGGTTTAAACTTAGGGTCGAGTGACCATTGATAATTATTGTGTTAGGTTGTCCAAATGCTATGGTTTTTAGGGAAATGGGCCAAGTGAATCAATGATATAAATATGCTAAAAGTCTATAAGTATTATATATTATTTCTAAGAAATTAATGAGAAATAGTGAAAATGAAAATAGTGCAAGTAAATGATAAGTAGAGTATACTTCATAATTTAAACCTTGACAGTCGCATTTCATGTTTTTACAAATATTGATGTCCCTTGCTTAAAATTGAATCTTTTATTTATTTAAATGTTAAAGCATGCTTTCTTTAAAGTTTATCATTGCATTAAGCTAACAATATCTATGATTAAAAATGCTTATGTTAGTTCAGAATATCGGTATGCATAGTTTCTTTTTTTTTTGTATGTTTGAACATTGTATTAGAATTGTTTGTCTCGCTGAGTGTTTAGCTCATTAGATATCACTAGGATTACTTTTCAAGGAAGGAAAATGAGCAGATGAACCAACTATTCCATATGTAAGTATTATGAATGGATGTATAGTTTTGGGATGTAATGTAGAAAAGAATGTACATTGTATAAATTATATAATTTCAGTATGTATAAATTTTCTATGAAATTATTACAAGCTTTATAGTTTATTTTGACAAGTTAATTTATGCATGCTTCCATATCAATGATTATGATGAAAATATTAAAGCATGAGTTGTGGCGATCTAAGCATATTACTTTTCTAATTGATCCTACTAATAAAATCAGGATGGGTTTTTGTGGCAAATGTGTTTGATTAGATTTTTGTTTGTATTTTGCCTCATGATTGATTAGAGGGGTTGAAATGGAGCATGATAGAAAGTAGTATCAGGGCAAGCTTTGAATTCTAAGTTATAATGAAAGCATATTTGGATTTAGAAATGAAGTTAAGAATGAGATTGAATTTGTGTATGATTATTATAGCGCCATAGGTCGATCAAATTGGGATGGTTACTTCGATTGAGCTCAGGAGTGACTTATGCATAATACAATCATCCTATAATAAATTATGCTAATTAAGTAAATTATTATATTTACGGCTAAATATACTTGAAGAAATGCTAGAAAGAATGAATGATCAATCATCATGGCCAATCTTAGGAAAAAATATTAGGCGGAGATGATTTAATTATAAGTGAAATTGATGCATGACATAAATGTAAAAATGATTGGAATAAAAAATTTGCGCATTTTGAAAAGAGCAAAGAGTAATTAAGAATGCTTGCCACTAAACAATGATAGAAAACAAAAGAGGGATAGCTACGCTTAGGCCAACTCACATGCTAGGAATATAGAATTTCAACAAAATGCAAATTAAGTAGTTACTCAATAAAATCCCTAAGTTAACAACGAAATCAGAAGCATAAAAGTCAAAACTCATCCTACGTTTACTAAGGTAAAGCAGAGAGCGAAGCACGACTCCTAGCGATTGAATCACCACCTACAAGATTAGTGGATTAAGAAAATAAATGAATAGGGTAAAGAAGTTCACCCTTGTTGATGATCGAAAACAATTTGCCATTGAACGTTGGCGAGTTGTTCTTTGATTGCTTCGGATAGTGTGAAAAGATGATGCGATCCAAATATTCTTCGACGGAGTTGTTGTCTTCCGGGTTGACGTCGAAGAAGGTTGACCAGAGTATGTCGACGTTTCCTTGATCGTTGTAAATGAATCCATAATCAAGATCGGGATTGGCCATTCATCTGTTCCGAAGGGTTGAAATGTTGACGAGGATGAATGTTGCTTCCCTTAAAGACTCCTCTTGAGAGGGAGGAGATTATCTTGAGAAATCAAGAGGGGAAGAGGAAAATATGTGGCTGGCCAAGGGTGAGGGTGTGGAGAAAGATTTAGGTTCAGATTTTAGATGAAGAAAGGTGGAGGGAATTTGGGAAAATTAATTCCTCTAATTGATTCCTAACTTTGGAATTAATGAAAGAGGAAAGAGATGAGAGGGGGTGGGTGAGAGAGAGGAGGTTTGGGATTTAATACCAAAAGAAAAGGATGAGATTTTGGAAAGAAATAAAGGAGGTGGGGCCTTGGGAATTTCGGCCAAGAGAGAGAGGAGATGGTTTGAATTATTTCCAAGTGTGCAGATTGTCTTTTGGAAACAATTCCAAAAAGAAATAGGAGGGGGACCGGTGACATAGGGAGGTGTTACGCTTCCCTCTCCAATGAATCTCTCTCTTAACCTCTCATGCTCTCGCAAGAAATCAAAACGTAGAAAATTTTATCATTAATTCATTAACTTCAAAAGGGAACATAAGGCCTTATGAAAATTTGACCTAAAATAACTAAACTTTCTCAGCAGTTTTGGAGCTCAAAATTTTGGATCCTACAACATTATCTTTGTCAATATCATCATTAGCTTATCCAACTATTTAGGGCTAGCTTTAGGAATCGTAGATGACATGAATAGTACTTCAATTGGTTGTAGTTGTCTTTCTTTTCCATGAAGCACTTACTGTCATTACCTAGATTAGATGATGACATGTGTCACTGTTGTTGTTACTTTTGAGCTTACATAGCTTGCTCCCATTACCTACTACTACCAATTTCTTGTACAAAACTTCGCTATTGAGGGAGTTTTGGGATCGGTATTATGCCACACTTATTAAAATATTTTTTATTGATAATTTATCATTGTTGTTATAAATCATCCACAAGCATAGCCGCTTAAAATATATCTTCTGGAGTTTTTTTTTCACTTGATTTTCATAATTTAGTGATCATAGTGGAGATATCGTTTAGCTGGGCTTCTTCTTTCCTTATGGGGATTGAGAACTTGTTGTTGGACGGTTCCTTTAGAAATATTTTCAACTCATCAAAATGCATCCCGTTCTCTATTGTGGCACCAGCAACTTTCAGTGAAGTTTTTTTTTTCCAAACCGAGTCTTTTCTTCAATTGGCAGTCCACCACAGCTGCAGCCCATAATCGAATTATTTGCTGTTATTTGCATTGCAATATTGAAAAGTAATTTAATTTTCTTTGTGAATTATATTAAAACCTTAATTTTCTAATCTGGAAAATGATATTTCAGTTGTACCCTTCAGAAGATTGGCTTGTACAGTCATCACTGCCTTCCAAGTTTTTTCCGAGTGCCATAAAGGCGACGCTGGATGAGCTAAGCCCAGAGACTGTTAGGTTAAAAGTGTATTGCATTTAGTACATTTTTTTGTGCTGTTTGAAGTAGCTATTTTATTCTTAGATGTTTTGTAGCATTGGAATTATTGGAGAACTACTTTTGTCATTTATCCCTGTGCCCTTTGCCTTATTATCATTTTAGTTCGTTTTATTAAGCTGGATTACAAAAGTACCCAAACAATATTACTCTTTTACCATTCAATAAGAATGAACCATATTAGCAATGCCTCTTATTCCTGTGAGTTTATCTCTGCCTCTTTCTTTTATCGTGCCTTCATTTAAGGAAGAGCTGGTTTTTATATTTGTTTTTTTATAATTTTTTCAGATAATCTGCATTTACTTTTCCTGCTGTTGGCCATCAATAAATCGGTATGGATTAATTTTTTAAAGAAAGAATACTATTGAGACTTGACATTCCAATATTTTGATCACAACAGCCAGCAGGGGAGAGAGGTCATCAGTTTGGCCTCTTGTAGTCTTGCAGAGCTCTTTTAACATTTCAACCTTTGTAAGGGTGATGACTTCTCATTCATTGAACTCAGTTCTAAATGACCTAACATAGATATTTATACTAATTGCTAGGCTACTGCAAAGATAGACTTGCCCTTGGGGACCTTTTATATTAAGAACCCATGCAACATTAAAAAAATGTATAGATCCTGCAGAAATAACATGAACACTTAATGACATGAAGAAAACACTAAAAATAGCATCTGATGAACTCAAAACTGTTTGAAAACAGGTACGATAATGATAGCTTCTACTAGCTGCTCGATAGGATGCTCTTCATAGATCTAAATATTGTTCATGTGTAAATTGGTATTATTTTAGCTGTTATAAACTTTAAGCTAAAATCGCATGGCTTTTTGTGTCAGCAGCTCCTCTCGTCTGCCTGCTGGTGTCAAATTGACCTTGTTCGTCTATGACAGCTTCCTTCTGAATTCCAGTCTTGTTTTTTGGCAGTTTTTGGTATTTTCATGAAATTTTTTGTCCAAAAGTTTTTAACTGGTTCTATGCTGAGAAAGTTTTCTTTCCCATCAGAATATTCTGGGAATCCAAATCATTTGAAGGGTGTACTGATTTAGTTGAGCCATGGTACGGAACTAAATATTCTGTTCAGAAGTTACCTCCTTCCACCATTCAGGTTGATTATTGAATTTTTGAGATGAAAAATTCTGGTTGAAAATCCAAAAAAAATTATATTTTCCTCTTTTTTCTTTTAGATTGAATTTGTTTGAGAAGTAATAGGTTACTGAATGTGTATGTGTTTTGTAGCAATGGATAGAGAAAGCTCCTAAAGAAGATTTGCATCTTCCAATTCCCAACATTTTCATTGCAACTGATCTTACAATAAAGCAAGTTTCAGACAAAGTAAACAGCATATATGAATGTGTATGTTTAATTCTTCATTAAATTAATAATCTGTTTGGGGTATCTGATATTTTGAAGTTCAAAACCAGGTTCCATATCCATATCTTATAAGGAAATCTCCTTTCTCAAGATTATGGTACAAACCTGATACTATGTTCTTTACGCCTAAAGCATATATAAAAATAGAGTTCAATTGCCCACTGTCAAACCAGTCACCTGAAGCAGCAGTCCTTACTGATATGCTTACACGATTGTTGATGGATTATTTGAATGAATATGGTAAATGACTATTCTATTTTTTCAGTCAACATCTTTTAATGTATTTATTTGTATTATGGGGCATGTTTTTTTTTTTAAATCTATTCATGCATTATGTCAAGTTTTACTTTTGATCTATATGATAGGATTTTCTCTATTTAATCATTAACTTGATTTAATTTTATCACACATTGTTTTCTAAAAGGAAAGTAAAAGTAAGAAAAGAAGGATAAGAATTCAAACGTGATGAATGTTGTAAGTACTAATTGACACGCAAAACAGTTTCATTGAATTATTCAGTATGAGTGCATTTTCAAAGTCAAGAAAAGTGTGATAGTTAAAAAGCTTTCAAGATCTGAATTTTTTTAAAGTTGTTGGAAGTTTCTATTTGTGTAATTTACATCAAAGCACATTAAATCTTAAGTTTGATGTATTTTTAACAAATTTAACCAATTGAAAGCTGACTGAAATGATGCTTGTTAGCATAAATTCTATTTGGATGTATCAACGCCACTAGAATTAGGGAAGGCGGGTCAGTAGTACATCTAAATTACTCTGTTCCATGAAATCTTTATTTTGGCTGCAAGTATGGTTTGAGAAGGAAGATTGAGTGGCACTTGTGGGATGGTGTAGCTTGGCCAATGGATGGGCAATACTATTACAAGCAGGCCAGTTCAAAAAATCTTTTAATTAGTTTAGTGGTTTCAAGTTTGTCAAGCTATTTAAACTTTGATAAAACGATGGGAAGGAGGGAATGATTCGTAATTAAAATGAAGGGTTTTGGTGAGCCTTCACATAATCTGGATGCAGGTTATCTAAATTTAACAAGAGGATGAAATGATCCTTCTTAAAATTATATTAAGGGGTGTTTTAATGTTTTACCGGAAACAATAAGTAGAATTAGAGCAAAATTGGATTTGAAAGTAGTGTTCAGCAAACCTAGATGTGATCAAGTTCAAGGGCATAGTTACAATGATCTGATAGGGGATTAAAATGTTACCATATTAAGAATAATCTTGAATCCAAGGTTGATGAGGGCTGTGGATAGCAATTGAAATAAAAATTAAATAAAATCCTTGAACCTGATTGGTGAAGAGATTCCTTCTTGATTGAAGATGGTTCTTCACTTCCTTGAATCCTCCATGATGTTATCCACCAGAACTCCTCTTAGATGGCCGTACAAGTGGAGAGAATAAAGTGAGAGCTCATATAGAGTTTTATTAAAAAATAGATAAAGTGAAACAAATTTAGTCTTTTATGTAAAATTACGATATTGGATACATGAATGAATACATGCATCCCTTTAAGGCCAGTAAAGATCTGATATTTATAATAGGAGGAATTCACGAAATCCTAACTCTCTGCCAAGTGGTTGCAACAAGTTTGATTGCTAGAACATGCTTTTTAGCCATGTAGACCACAAATGATGAGAATGGTTAACAAGAGTTGATGAGGTATGGAGTACTTATCCTCTTTGGAGATGGAAGATAGAGAGGGAATTTTTCCAACACCTTGTTGGATATGGGACAACCAGATTATGATTGGATTATTTTGGACCTTTTGTCTGGCCTCCTTGTTTACCGTTTTGTAACTTCTTGAGTGTCACCTTGTTAAGAACAATTGAGAGACGTTTGTTGTTTTCAATGCAGCTCTTATTTCAGTTTTATGTATGTCTATATAGCCCAAAGCAATTGTAATAGTTAACCCAATTATTAGTTATGCATCCAATGAAACTGGCTCATAGTTGGATTATGTGGGCTCAGAAAATTCATGCCCAACTCCTCTTGGAGAGTTTCAATCTTTCAGTTTTGGGTTAAATTTTTAGAAGACTTGAATTGCAAATAAGACACTACTCATAAATTTCATCCTTATTTTGTGAGAATTTTATGATATGATTCTAGGTTTTTCATAGGAGCCCTTATGATTAATTATCCCTCTCAGTGATGAGAAATAATTTTCAATTAGGCTAGTTGTTATATGTTAAGTGATTGGCATATAATAGTAGGAAATTTTAGTTTTAAGGTTGAAGGAAATTTATCATCCTTAGTGTAAAAGGGATGATGAGGGAATGATGACGAACCCAATCAACATCATATAGTTTTGTCATCTCATGTTACATAAACCCTAGTCTACTTCGTCAGTGGAAGTAGTCAACCCAACTTAGATCCTTGTCAATAGTCATGAGTTGTATCATCCAAGGAATCTTGTAAACATTCCTTGTAAACCTGAGGTGGATATTTGTCAAAGGAAGCAATTTTATGTAGATCTTAGCTGATAGATCTTTGTGTCATATCAAGTGCACCTATGATTTATAACTTAAGTGGTTATAGCCATGGGGAAAATTTGAGCTTTGATTGTTAGCATAATTTAATGACGTTATTTTGTAGTTAGTCACTCGATCAGAGGGCCCTGATCATAACTGTTATTTAGTGGTGTTATTTGACGACAAAATAACTGGGTCAAAGAATACATTTCATTACTAGCGAGAGAATAGTTGATAGTAAATATATTGATACATTTAATAAGACACCTGCTCTTAAAGTGTTATAGTTGGCATTAATCTCAAAATAGTAGGTAGTTGTGAAGTGTAGATTAATATTTGCTTTAAAATTTCGCTTGAATTTTTTAATTATATATGAAGAAAACTTGAAAAGATTTCTATTGAGATTTGGGGGCTTTTTGCAAATAATATTCCACTATGGTTGAATTCTCAATTAATGCAGCCATCGTCAAGAAGAGACTATTTGAATCATTTGTATTTAAAAATGGCTTTGAACCTTGTTTACTATCTTTCATACAGAGGATTGGGTTCAAGAAGTTGCATTACTTAAGCTTGTTTAAGTATTTGCTGTACTACAATCATTATCGACCCTACGCCCATATGTAGAGGATCGCGTTATTGGGACATCAAGTTAGACTTGAAATGTAGGATTTATGGTCGTACCTTATAAGCAAGGCTGCCCATTCAAGAACATTGTATGGCATATGAGTGATTTTGATTTGGGTAGGGAAAATTTGAGTGCGTCTTATATATATATATATATATATATATATAT